GCTGGAAACCTTGTATGTACTGCTCTATGGTCACGGATGTCCTGGTGAGTCTCTGCTTGTTCGGTATGAATATTGTATAATCGGTCGTAATATCTCCAGAACTCGTCTGCTATTTCCTTTGGAAATTGTGTTAGGTCACCTTTTGACGTCCGTATTGTGTGTACTTGTGCTCTAACTTGTTGACCCCGGATCCTACTTTCCATTTTCCTTCACTGGGATATGTTTTACAAACACACACACATAGAATACCTGCATATTCCAGCTGATCTTTGAGAAGTTTTAGAAGTCCTTCTTTTGCACAGTTAATGAATAACAGTAATTCTTTTTACACTATGGAGATTTTATCTTGTTTAGCATCTGAATCACATTGTTTGTTTGTGCTTATTTGGATGTCAAGATGGAAACTCTGGGATAGCCGTGGAAACTAAATTTTTTGTCCCCAAGAAGGACTTCATAAAATCCAACTTGAGATTTGCAGGTGATGCATAACAGTAATTGGAAGGCCTGGGACAGGACAGTTTCTTAGCCAATCCTAGAGCAACACCCTTTTTGACAGAGATCTCAGATATCCCACCTGAAATCTACTGAAGCCACTCTCCCAACTTAGAGGTTACAGTCCCAGTCTCCCATCGCAACTGGTACTGCTACAGCTATTACCTTCAAGTCCTTTCTAGTTTTACTGTTAGCACCTGGTATTTGTCCATCTTCTCATGTTCCTTCTTCTTGAAATTATGGTTAATGGGTATTTCCACATCCATCACCACTGCAGTCTTCTGTTCTTCATCTACCACCACAATGTCAGGTTGGTCGGCAAGTACTTTGCCTGTCTTGCTCTTGAAGTCCCAAGGATCTTAGCTGTGTCATTCTCAACTACTCTTTGTGTTTTCTCCTATCTGGACATCTGGCAGGTTCATTCCATAGTCTATGCAGATGTTTCAATAGACAATCCCAGCCTTATTGCTATCTTTAAGTTCTGTTTTTTTCCAACTGGTATGATTTCGTAATCTGAGCTACATTCCCTATCTGACCATTGTACATCCAATGGAGAGGTTTCATCAGGACTGAGGCATTGAAGTATTGAAAACTAACATTTTATTTATTATTATTATTATTATGTTATTATTTATATAGTGCCACCAAATTCCGCAGCGCTTTACAGTGGGTGGACGAACAAACATGTAGTTGTAACCAGACAAGTTGGATACACAGGGACAGAGGGGTTAAAGGCCCTGCTCAATGAGTTTACATGCTAGAGGGAGTGGGGTAAAGTGACACAAAAGGTAAGCATAGTATTAGACTAATGACAGTTGCAAGAGAGGAATCAGTCGGGAGCTATTAACAGTTTAATTAATACGCTTTTATGAAGAAGTGGGTTTTTAATGATTTTTTGAAGGAGTGGAGACTGGATGAGCATCTAACGGAGGAGGGAAGTGAGTTCCACAGGAACGGTGCAGCCCTCAAGAAGTCTTGAAGGCGAGTATCAGAGGTGGGAGTACGGACAGAAGATAGATGTAAGTCTTCAGCAGAGCGTAAGGGCCTAGACGGCACATTCTTGTGTATTAGGGAGGATAGATAGGTGGAAGCTACATTATCTTCTTTGAAAGCAAGAACCAGAATTTTAAATTGAGCCCTATATCTTACAGGAAGCCAATGTAGGGACTGACAGAAGGGTGAGGCGTGGGAGGTGAGTGCGGACAGGAAGATGAGCCTCGCCGCCGCATTCATTATGGACTGTAACGGCGCAGGTTGGGAGCACATAAGACCACTGAGAAGCAGATTACATTAGTCAAGGTGGGAAAGGACAGTGGAATGGACCAGCACCTTAGTCGCATCTGGTGTTAAGTAGGGTCAGATGCACGCAATGTTTTTAGATGGAAGTGGCAGCATTTATCAATAGACTGACCATGAGGCGTGAAGGAGAGTTAGGAGTCGAAGAGAACACCTAGACAGCGAGCCTGCGTGGTGGAGCTGATAGTAGCACTATCAAATTGGAGGGAGACAGACACAGGAATAGCAACATTTGAGTGAGGAAAGACCAGAATTTCAGTTTTGGTCAAGTTGAGTTTAAGGAAGTGGGCAACCATCCAGTTAGAAATAGCAGAGAGGCAGTCAGAAACACTAGTCAAGAGGGACGAGGAGAGCTCAGGAGAGGACAGGTAGATTTGCGTGTCATCCACATAGAAATGATATTGGAAGCCAAAGGAGCTAATGAGTTCACCAAGGGAGGCAGTATAGATAGAGAACAGTAGGGGAATAAGGACTGGAGCTTGGGGGACACCAACAGAGAGGAGTTGGGGAGAAGAAGCAGAGCCAGAGAAAGAAATACTGAAAGGAGTGGTAGCAGGAGCACCGGGAGAGAGCAGTATCTTGTAGACCGATATAGTGGAGGATGAGAAGAAGCTGTTGATGATCAACAGTGTCAAATGTCGCAGAAAGGTCAAGGAGAATTAGGATAGAGTAGTGACCACAAGATTTTGCAGCGAGTAGATCATTGGATAGTTTGGTCAGTGCCGTTTCCACAGAGTGGTTAATGTGGAAACCAGACTGAAGCGGGTCAAGCAGAGAGTTGAACTCGATTAAGTCTATCAATCTCACATACACAACTTTTTATGTTTCTGTTGATTTGTCTAATTACAATTGAGCCCCTGATATAGTGTGACTCTGTGCGAAAATGGTTGCAATTCCTAAATGTTTCAAACACTATTTTTGTTCAAACCCTTGAATTAAAGCTGAAAGTCTGCACTTCAATTGCTTCTCAGTTGTTTCATTTCAAATCCTTTTTGGTGGCATACAGAGCCAAAATTATGAAAACTATGTCAATGTCCAAATATTTCAGAACCTAACTGTATAATGGTGAACTTTCCCTGCGTACTTTGCTTGGTTTGTGCTTTATGACATGCATTCTACCATCTGCATCTATTGTAAGCTCTCCCCTTTCTGTCCAAGCACAGGGTTCTCATTGAGACAGATTTAATATGACACAATAATATCTCACTTGCTAAGACTTAGGCACTTCGTGCTCTGAGCACTGTTAGTCCAAATAAAACAGGATGCTGTATAAAATTAGTAGAAATTATACTCACAAGGATAGAGCAGACTCACTGGTCTACGATGACCGCGTTGGTGGTATGATCCCCATCTGGGATTTCTTGAGAGTAGAAATGATAAAATGCCAGGAGGTATGAAATATTAAATAAAGTATTAAAATAAATAGGTAATGGCACAATACACTAGTGCAGTGACCAAAATCCTTTATTGAATAAAATACAAAATAACATCCAGTTTCGCCAATGTGGCTTTTTCAAATGTAATAAAAACATACAACCTGAGTAGATGGGATTTATATAGGGATGGGTAGTTTAAAATTGGCACCAAAATTCCAACATAGGCTGTTCTCCAAAAGTAAAACAGTATCACTAAATACAAATATAGAAAATAAGCATATATATTTGTATATCCTTTAATGGAGAGTTGCAATATATTAATACACTATAAAAACGAGGATTATTTGAGATAATAACGGCTTCTGAAACACGTGACAGGCGTCATAATTTCCTGGCCGCTAAGCCTCATGGGGACTGTAGTCCTCGATATATTGTAGATGATGTCAGCGAAACTCTCATTATAGACGGCATCGAGACAAGGCTGGATGCACTTATTAGTAAAGTAAACAAATGAAAGGAGAAGTGGATAGGTGTCTGGACAAGAATAAGTTATAATATGTGGATAAATTATATAAAAAGTGGCCGCGGCGGCCACCTTGGTTGGGGAAAAGAAAGTAAAACAGGAAATAATGTTGGCGGACATTTTAAAGGGTGAACTGGTCAGAATAAAGTGGCCATCTTAGGGGGGAAAAAAACAATTCTTAAGAGGGAATAAGTTTGAGGAAGATAGTAGTACAAGTCATACTTAAAAAACTTGTACATAAAAGTCAAATATAGATATTTGTACAATAAAAAATAAATGTAAAAAAGAATGCACAAATAAGAATATGTAGAAAGAAAATATATATACAAAAAAGAAACTACTGTATATACTCGAGCATAAGATGAGTTTTTCAGCACATTTTTTTCACTTGTCTTATATTCGAGTGAGTGTCTGTTTTATGGCAACTTACATTGCCATAATACAGACCAGGACTGCCGGGCTCATTACAAGCCCGGCGGTACTGTTGGGGGCTGGCAAAGAGCTGTAACTTACCTTTCCTGCAGCTCCTGTCAGCTCCCTTCTCTCTCCTCCGGTCCGGTCAGCTCCCCTATCAGCTCCACTGCAAGTCTTGCAAGAGCCGGGGGGTCAGAGCGTTGCCACGGGTTACCGTGTTTGTAAATTAAACACCCATTTCATTTCTGATTTGCCAAGAATGTTTTTGATATTCCCTCCTCTCCCCAAATTTTTTTTTTTTTAATTCTTTATTTTTGCAGTGCATACGAGGGTAACATACAGACATGTGGTACCACAAAGGCAGTCCACATGCATAATTTTGCACGATAGTAACAGAACAATAAGAACAGTGGGGTATGTTATAACAGTGCACTAATTTTATGTTTAAGTACAAGAGTGTCAAGAGTGATTAAAGTAATAAGCAGTGAAGGTTCTCTCAGCCAAATCTATCAGATAGCCAGAAGAAACATCGGTAGAATGACTCGGCTTAAGAAAAGTATGCTGTACAAGGGTTAGCTGTGTGCAGTAAACCACTGGGGTCTAGTTTAGGACAAGAGCTGCTTTGCGTGAGGTTGCTGTTGGTGGCAGGGGACCCCTAGCATCATGTGGTGTGCAACAGGTAGTAACCTTGTGGTATTTTGCTGTCATGATGGCTGGGGGTGTTCCATGCTATGTGACATAAAGATAAGAGTCCGCTTTAACCCCTTTCAGTCCCGTATAAACGTGGCAGCGGTATGGCTGTACATAACTTTTATAAGGCAATACAGAGTCATGAAAGCATATAGTACATCACCCGGCAATCTGTAGCATAGCTCTCATGAGGTTGTACGGTGGGTGCTTCAGCCTATGCCCAGTGTTGGAAAGGCCTGGATGTTGCCGCTGAGAGTGAGAGTGACTCTTTTGGAGCCCTTGGATGTGGTGAGTCTGCCCTGGGAGCCTGCTCCGGTCTTTGGTTTTGCAGATTTGGCTGTATGGCGCTGAGTCACGATGTGCTGGGGGTTGAGGGTCCATTCCGGCATGGTCTCAACCTGTGTCGCTTGGGTGGCTTTCTCGCTTTTATGCCGCCGTGAGTGGAAGTTCGTGCTTGGTGCCCTTTCCTGCCTTGTGGATTGCCGGAGTCTTCGTTGCCGGACATCCGCTTTGGAGGTCGCTTTGGTATGAGCCTATAATGGCTGTGTCATGCAGTGGGTCAGATCCACGCAGCCACCATTTTCTCTGCTTGGTGGAAAGTTGCTCCACGGCTGTTCAGTGCATCTCGGAGGCACTCGCAGAGCCTGTCGAAGGTCTCCTGTTTGCCGTGCAGATAGTTTATCCACTTTCCGCTTCGGTCGGGTCATCCAGTGGGGACCAGGATATCCCCCGCTGGTCCGGGTTGGGGGGTAGGCTGTAGCTTGAGGGCCTTGGCACCAAGGAGAGCGTCCACCTCCCCCCGGCTCCAGGCCCAGTAGGCTGCATTTGAAGCTTTGCGTTCCCGTCCACTGTAGGCCTCGGGCAGGTATCAATCGATTCAGTGGGGCACCCCCGACTTGGGTGGTGCACCCAGGTAGGACTGTGGGCCATATCGCCCCCGCTTTTTCCCCGTTTAAGGCCTGTTCGACAGGAGCTCATGTCAGACACATCTACACGGCTCAGTGTCCAGGCTCCGCCACCGGTAAATTTTTTAATACCAGTGCACTTTAATAATTTGGGGTCATTATTGTGTATGGCAAAATGCTTGGACACTGAATGATTTGGATATCCCTTTACAGTGTTTCTGCACTGTTCACTTAATCTTATTTTTAAACTTCTTGTGGTCATCCCAACATATTGGAGGCCGCATGGGCACTCCAACAAATTAATTAAAACATTTTCGTACTGCAACTAATAAAATCTTTAATATTATAAATTGTAGTTGTTCTATTAGATATAAACTATCTAGTTTTGGATGGTAGGGAGGGGTCAGTTCTTTTACAGACTGTGTAACATCTGCACTTATAAAACCCTTTGGCTTCAGTGAAAAAAGATGATTGTAATTGTTTATTGGGTTTTGGTTCTCTCGTAAAATTGATTTTTAAGATAGATTTAAAACTTGGAGCTCCCCTGAAGATAATATTAGGCTTTTCAGGTATGATGTTAAGTGTTTCATCTTGCTTTAATAAGTGCTAGGGCTTGTTCACTATCTTTTTTATATGACCACTTTTATTGTTAAAATTAAAAAAAAAATGGGAATCGATGGGGGATCTTTAATACTTTTGTCTTTATATACTAATGATTACATTGCAGCACTAAGACTGCCTCCAGTGGCTTTCTACCAAACAGCCACTAGAGGTGCCTTCTGGCTGTTACAGACTTTTGGTCCGGTAACTGACACTAGATGTCCTCACGCGCTGCATGCAGACATCCAGCATCAGCTATTTTCCCATATGAAAGCATTAGTTCAATGCTTTCCTATGGGAGGCCTAATGCGCGTTAGGCACTCGCTATGCATGCCCATTAGCACCTGAACATCGAGGGACTTCGGAGGAGGCAGAGCTGCGATCCGGCGCTGGGATAAGGTAAGTAAATAAAGGATTTTTAACCCTTAATTTACCACCGTGGGGGGCACAAGGGAGGAGGGAAACAGAGGGAGCTATAGTGCCAGGAGTACAGCTTTGTATTCCTGGCACAACCTTTTCTCTCTGGTAAATTATATAGGCCTGAATAATACTCCTGGAAAGCTTTACCGATCTTCTCTGGTGACAGAATTACTTCTTCTCCTGTTCTTATTTTAGAAATAATTTTTTTAGTTTTTTCTTTTTTTAATCTATTTGATAGTAATTTATCCGCCTTATTCCCTTTATAATACCAAGTTCTTTTTAAACGTTCTAAGGCTAGATTAGATTTATAAATCAGAATATTGTTAATTGTCTCTTATTTCTTTTAGTTCTTCACTACTTTTAATCGAAGGATTATTCTTGTTCTGTTTTTCCAGAACTTCATATTTGATATATAATTGTGCTAAATTTTGTGAGTTTTTTTCTTCTGAACCCAATTTTATGAAATGTCCCCTAATTGTGCATTTAAATGCGCACCAAAGCATTGACAATGATGTCTCAGGATTTTTGTTTTCTCTAAAGTAATCATCTATAGCTTTTTGTATTATATCCACATTTTGACTTTTTTTTTAAATAAATGTTCATTCAATCTCCAGTTAGATCTAGCTTTGACAAAGTCGTCTTTAATAACCAAAATTAATGCATTGTGATCTGACCATGGGATATTGGTAATTAAAATCTTTTTAACCATTCTGGCAGTATTTATCTCTGTCAATATATAATCTATTCTTGAATAGACTTGATGTAGATAGGAAAAGCACGTATAATCCTTTTCCATAGGATGCCATATGCGCCAAATATCCATGAGGCCTGCCTTTTTTATAGTCTCATTAAATCTTAGGGATGATGCCGTTGTATTGTCCAGAAAGTTGGCTCTACTATGGATAGTTTATTTCTATCCATAGTAGGGTCCAATATACAATTGGAATCTCCCAAATATATAATTGTATCCTGTTTGATTCTATCAATTTTGTCCACCAGTTTATTTAAAAATCTTGTAGTGGCTTTATTTGGTGCATATAAATTTACAATAGTGTATAGCTGATTATTCATCTCACATATTATTATAATGACTCTTCCTTCCGCATCAGAATCCTGATAAATTAGTTTGAAAGCTACTTTTGAAGATATTATAATTGCTACCCCTCTTTTTTCTTTTTTCTTTTTAAGCATAGAAGATTTAAAAATGATTGGAAATTCCTTTGAACTAAGTCTATCTTTCTCTTTTGCCAACCAGTGGGTCTCTTGTATTCCTCATATATGGATTGATTCCTTCCTTATAAAGTCTGTAAGAATGCGGCGAATTTAACCCTCTTACATTCAAGGATGCTATTTTAAGCATATCTTCATCATATCCAACTCCCTTCTCTCCAGCGCGGGAAACATACATACAACATGACAAACACTACATTGCACCCCTACATTTAACATTAAAATACTTGGTTCTTTAGCCAAAAGAACCATCCCCATCCCTGTATTCCTTCCCCCTACATGGAAATATCCCCAGAGAGATGTTGAAGGCTCATATAGTCCCTATCCCAAAGCCAGATAAAAACCCGGAACTAGTAACAAATTATAGACCAATCTCACTGTTTAATAGTGATATCAAAATCTATTCCTCTGTGTTAGCGGATAGGATCGCTAAAATAATACCAACAATTATTCATCAAGATCAAGTGGGGTTTATAGCTAGTAGATCCCCAGTTTTCAACATCAGAAGACTAATAAATGTCACAGATGTACCAATTAAGAGGAATTTACCCCCTCCTTGCCCTGTCATTAGATGCCAAAAAGACGTTTGACAGGTTAAGGTGGGATTTTCTGGAGAATGCATTACATAGTTTTGGAATTCATGGCAATATTATTAGGGCTATTATGGCCTTATATACAGTCCCAACGGCCAGGGTTGCAGGTAGTGGCTTCTTCTCTGACTGGTTTCAGCTGACAAATGGAACAAGTCAGGGGTGCCCTTTGTCACCACTCTTATATTTGCTAAGCCAAGAACCCCTAGCACATAAAATTAAAGATAATGAATATATAAAAGGAGTAGAGTTAGAGGGAGAGTCGTTAAAGCTCACAATGTACATGGTACTCACACTGACTGACCCTCTGACATCCATGGAAAAAGTTATGGATATTATAAGGGAGTTCTCTATATATTCAGGATATAAGTTAAATTTAAATAAGTCAGCAGTACTCCCGTTTAATCTTACATTAAATACCAAGCGTAATTTATCTGATAAATTTGGATTTGATTGTAAAAAGAACTCTATGGCATGTTTAGGTATAGAGATTACTAATGAGCCAAATAGAATGATGGAACAAAATGTTTTGAAGTTTTTGAAAAGATATGGGTAAAACCTTTAAAAAATGGAAGGGAATAGAGGCATCTTGGTGGGGGAGAATTAATATGGTAAAATTTTATATATATCCAAAGTGGGTCTATCTCTTCCGCATGATGCCGTTGTATTGTCCAGAAAGTTGGCTCTACTTGGCACAATCAATTTTTTATCGATTTATATGGGATGGGAAATGCCCAAGATTAAGTCGTGATCATTTAATGTTAAAAAACTAAATTAGGGGGATTGGGAATTCCACAGAATTCCACAGAACGTGGAGAGCATGCAATATAGCTCAAGCAATAATTACCTAATCAGATTCGGCAAAAGATCAATTCTGGTATAAAGCTGAGCAGAGTTTACTTAGTTTTACTTATGTTCCCTTTTTTGGAACACAGATAATAAATATAAATACCGACAGAGATCCACTTCTAATAGTTTAATCCTAAATAATATTATACCTATGTGGAATAAACTAAGGAAAGATTTGGACTTACAAGATAAACGTATTACTAGTCTTGATCTTAGACATTTGCAAAGTAATATGACAGATTTAAACATACAGAGTTGGATTAAACTGGGATTAAAAGAATTAATAATATAGTAGAGAATGGTAAAGTTAAAGATTTTAATTGTCTAGTAGAGGTTTATAAGCAGGAGAGTAAAGACATATTTACTTATATGAGAGTAAAGGGTTATCTTAAAGAGCACTTACCCAAAGACTATTCTTGTAAACAATTAATATCTGAACATATAATAAAAAATCAAAATACTATTAAAAAACTGGTTTCAAAATGCTTTAATTTAATTGAAAAAGATCCGGAAAATATTATCTGTCTTGTAATAAATAAATGGAAAAAGGATCTCTGTAATAACATAAGCTACGAAGAATGGAAAAAGGTGTTCAATCTGCTCACAAAGAACGTACATTGTCTTAACCTAGTGGAGCTTCAGTATAAAATTATGAATAGGTGGTATTTAACACCAAATAGGTTGGCTAAAATGTATATAGGTGTTTCAGATAAATGTTGGCGCTGTGGGGCTCAAAAAGCAGGAATGATGCACATTTGGTGGGTGTGTGGATCAATTAATTTGTATTGGATAATG